AACAGTCAGAATTAGGCTGAAAAGACTGTTAGGCCTACTATAAAATGGAAAATCCATGGTCACTTTCAAATTTAACATATTTATTTTCTTTTATGAGCAACAATTGTTAGGCTACTTACAATGTGGAGTTCATTTAAATTTATGACTTTGCTACCAAGAAGCCTCGGTGTCTAGACTTAGGCATCTAAATCAAGAGACAAAAGTGTTGAGTTGAGAAAAAAAACAAGTACTGTAAATGTTTTACCATTGTTCATGTTTGGATTTGTTGATACTGTTTGTAAGTATCTATGTTGAATATTTGAACATTTGTTGTGCCTTTTAATAAGTGAGTGTACTTCAGGTGAAAGAAAACACCTTTTTCATAGGTACCTTTACTATGTCAGTACTAGTGTAAATGTTTTACCATCTGAAGTATAAACAATGTGTATCTGTTATAAGTCCATACTGATACAGTGATGCATGCAAGATGTTTCAACACATTAAGAACTTAGAATGGACTCTATACCAAGTAACAATATGTATTTGCTTATGATGTTATCACCTAAACAGATGATCACATGCAGCATACCTTTTCGCAAAAAGGGGGGGGGGGGCAAATTCTAATCTTTCATGGGGCCCAAGATTTCTGGCGGCGCCCCTGTGTATGGGACGGCATTATCCGCTTAAACTGTCACCCAGATATATAAAATTTCCTTACATTGTGGTTGAACAGGCAAACATTAAAGCGCAATTTGCAGCGATGTCCGGTTTTCCCAATGTAATCGGAGCCATCGACTGCGCGCACATTGCTATATAGGCACCTTCAGAGAACGAATTTGCTTATGCTTATGTAAATAGAAAGCACTTTCACTCTATTAATGTACAAATTATGTGCGATTCGATCATGCGTCTCATTGATGCGTCCCCCTCACATTTAATAATTATTCGTTTGGATCCCCCCACATTTTAACATAAAACATTAGTTTTATGCCGGCACTGGGGGTACTTCCTGTACCATTGTCTGTAAGAATAAACAAACAGAATAAACGAAAGTAACACCGTATCTGCGGCCAACATGTTATTCATAAACATGCAAGTAATTCAAACAAGTATGGTACGAGAAAAACTCACCCGCGCTGACATCGGCGTCCCCCTCACCCGATAAAAGTGTCCGCGATCATTGCAGCATCTCGTTGCTCAAAGAGTGTGAGACCGGGAATTCTGCTACCTCCGCCTGTGGTGTTAAGACTCTTACGGTGACAGTGTTAATTTTGACAGCAGATTTCAATTTAGTTTTAGTCATAGTCTTTTGACTAAAATGCAATTTTAGTTTTAGTCATATTTTAGTCATCTGTTTTGTTTTAGTTTTAGTCTAGTTTTAGTCGACTAAAAAGCATAAGATTTTAGTCGACTAAATCTACTGTAGATTTAGTTGACTAAAATATATTGGGTTTAATTTAAATGTAATTTAGTTAAAC